ATATCATAGAATATACGTATATATATATATCGTAGAATATATATATATATATATATATATTATTTATTATATATACTATGTAATATATATATATAAGAAGGCTCTCTTTGTTTGTTTGCTTTTTCTTACTAAAACAGCTAATAATAAGAAATTAATTTAAAAAATAAATAAGAAGCAAACAAATAAACTAACACATACAATTACAAGATACAGATGAATATTAAAAAGGATCCATGCTGCTGTTGCTGCTGCTGCTGCTGCTGCTGCTGCTTTCAGCTGCTTTCAGCAGCAGCCGAAGCGCGTCTCGTCTCTTTTATGCTAATAAGATGAAAAATATAGATAAGCAAATGGAGTTCAATAAAATATAATTGAAGATAATCTAAAGAAATAGATATAAAAGAAATAAACAATAAAATTATTACGGCTGAGCGACAAAACAAGTAAAAAGAGAAGCATCGATGCTGCTGCATTGCTTTCAATGTATACAGCTGCATGTCTTGTAGTCAAATATAATTAAATAAAATAATTATTAACTATTTTAATCATTTATTCTAAATAATTATAAATATTAATGCATTTACTTCTCTCTGAACAGAGAAGCAAGTAGTATCAAAGCAGCAGCAGCAGCAGCAGCAGCATCAGCAACAGCAGCAGCAGCAGCAGCAGCATCTGCGTCGATTATCCTTATAATCTGTTGGTTTTTTCTACTTCTTTGTGCATATCTTTACAATTATATCTTTTTTAGGTGATAATAATATATTTATTTTTAATAATCTGTTTATAAACGCAAACAAAATCAGCAAAAGCTGCTTCTTTAATTGTACGGTGGTAGAGGGTGCAGGCGCTCTTTATCAACTTTTTATATTTTTTTTTTAAATTCTCTCGCCTTTTATTTGCATCTTTTATTTACTTTCCTTCTACCTCTACTCCTACTCCTGCTGCTACTGCTGCTGTTACTGCTGCTGCTGCTGTTAAGATGAAGCTCAACATATACAAAACAGCTGCTGCTGCTTGTTTAGCAGTAAGCTTAGGCTTCTCTTCAGTTCTAGGTGCAGAGTTATTGCTGGGTGTTATAGAGGCTCCAGAAGGTAAGCAAAAGAAAAACAAATAAATATAATATAGATGCATATTTGTGCTTATATGTATGTACATTGATGATGTATATATATATATATATATATATATATATGTTTGCATTTATATATAAGTATATAAATAAATTTACAAATAAATATATAAATAAATATATATATATATATATAGTTGTGTT